TGTAGCAACCACAACTGTTTCTGAGGAGCTACATTGTTTGGTGGAAGAATACTGTTTTTATTAATATCATTACACTTTATTTGCTCTGTTTTATTTTGTGAAACCTTACTACGTATATGGAATAATCGTTTTATAAAAGCAATAATTCCAGTGAAGCCGTGGTTTACAGTGAATTTACCTAACAACGCCTCTTTGCTGTTTTAAATTCACTGTAAACCACGGCTTCACGGGGATTATTGCTTTATAAAGAAAGACTAATAAATAAAAGCTATGTAGACATTTAAAAAGCAGCAAAAGTGACAAACCACGATAAAATTACTAAGACTTTTAACTAAAATGAAAGGGGGAAAAAATCATTAAATGTTGCATTTTCTTTACTCTAAAAATGCTAGGTTTTTAATTTGCAGACATCTGAAAATCGCACTACTATAAATGCACAGTTTATTTTCTTGTAAAATGATGCATGTGATTGTTTGCTTAGTAAATTGAAATTAGTCCAAGGTGTTTTGATGAGTCCTCAAGACATGTGAGATTTAGTGAACCATCACTGTCTTTACTCTTGAGTTTGCCTGAGGATTTTATTATTATAGTGTTTTGTAAATCAGTATATGAACATCTCCTCCTGCAGCTCTCACTGTATAATACTGATGTTGATATGAAGCTCATATGGTTTTGTCTGTTGTCTGAAATGCTCATGTGTGAGCTGAAAGCATGAACACTAGTGCACGGTGTTGTTTTCTGTCATGAGCTGGACTAACAACGCCTCTTAGCTGTTATAAATTCACTGTAAACCACGGCTTCACGGGGCTTATTGCTTTATAAAGTAAGACTAATAAATAAAAGCTATCTAGACATTTAAAAAGCAGCAAAAGTGACAAACCATGATAAAATTACTAAGACTTTTAACTAAAATGAAAGGGGGAAAAAATCATTAAATGTTGCATTTTCTTCTGCAAATCTCCTCCTGCAGCTCTCACTGTATAATACTGATGTTGATATGAAGCTCATATGGTTTTGTCTGTTGTCTGAAATGCTCATGTGTGAGCTGAAAGCATGAACACTAGTGCACGGTGTTGTTTTCTGTCATGAGCTGGATCAGTGTTTTCTGTGTCAGAGAGTCTGTTTTTGAGGTTAAACTGGTTTGGGCTGGTTTGTGTGTGTCGCTGGGGTTTGTGGGTAACTTTAGACGGGCTGATGTGGGTCACTGCGTTCACGCTCTGTTTTGAGGACAAACGCACTGATCCGGTGACTGAGCACTTCTGGGACTCGTACTATAGTGAAGTATTATATACTGTTGTATAGTAGTTTCACCGGTGTAAATACAATAATCATCAGCTTCTGTTCACACACTGATCAGTGATTTACAGCAGTGACCGTGGTAAAAACCACTTTTATATATTCACAAACGCTACGATTTAATTAAATAATTATGTGATGCAGTTATAGGCGTGTAGGTTACGTACATGCGTCACAGTAGTTCCACAGTTACTGTTATCATTTACACGTGTGGAGCGGCTCAAACTCCATCTCTGCATGTTGTTGTGAGTTTGGGTTTATTATAACCTTCATCTGGGAATGCAACATGCGCCATTTCATCAGATTTGTAAGGTAAATCATTTATAAATCCACGCAAACACAGGAGAATACATCATTATCTCGCGGTTTCAAAATAAAAGCTCAAACCCTCACTCTGAGTTTACACGTTTTGATGTCCACATATTC